ATGCAGGGATCGCGCAGCTGGGCCGTTCACCTGTGTGTGCTCTCTCTTTCCAGTTGTTTCCTGCAGGGAGTGGGCTGGAGCCTTGCTGGCCTAGCACCAGCCCACATGCTGATGGAGGCCCTCTTGCCAAGGCCCAGCCGAGGTAGGCAGGGTGGGAGGCCACCCCAGGACCCTTGCTTTGGCAAGAGTCCTCCCTTGTTCCTGGGAGGGGAGAGTGTGGCTGCCTTCCTGGTGCTAGAGTCCCTGCGCTCCCCCTCACCCCAGCCCCGTGAGCTCCCACTTTGCTGGTGAGGGTGATTGAGGAGGCCCTGGCTCTCCCCTCGGAGGTACTTTCCTCAGTCCAGTAAGTATGCTAAGTCCCAGCTTTCAAACTGCACATGTCCCGTGCTCCCTGGAGGTGGAGAACTGGTGGTCAGCAATCTGTACCCAAGCCAGAATCTCTCCCAAGGACCCATAGGATGATGAGATGCCCACAGTTCTGTGGGTTGTTTTAATGCGCATTGTGTATTTTTCTGAAAAGAAGATCCAGAGCTTTCCCTGAGTCTCTGAGGAGGGGGAGGGGACCCAGACAGGGCTTGAGAACCACTGGCCCACATGAGCTTGGGGGCCATGCCCGCTCTGGCACCCGCGGGCCCTCCGGAGTCTCTGACCTCTGCCATCGTCTTATGTCCTGCTTGGTTATGTTTCCCCAAGGCAGTCTACCTTTTCTCCCTCCTGCAGGCCACCGGGTGCACTGTCCCTCCAGCCTGTGGAGTGTGTGTGTGTGGGTGTGTGTGTTTTGGAGGGTCCTCTCCCCCCACCCCTCTCACAGAGCCTCTCACAGTCCATCACCTCCTTTGTGTCCTTTCGTGTTCTTTCTCCCAGCCATGCTGGTGGCTAGCACTGGGGGACCATCCTCTCCTATTACCTTGTACTTGAACTGGCTTCTCTGCAGAGTGGTGGCCTATCAATTATTTATGGCCAAGTTTCTGTTTCTGGCTTGCAAGTGTGGAGGAGGGGTTAGGGAGGGAAGGGATGGGGTCTGGAGGTGCGGCAGATGGTGCAGGGCTGTGAGGCGGGACTTTGGCTGGGTTTCCTTTTCCACAGCCCTCCACCCTCCATGCCGCATGGGGGGACAGGGAATTCCTGGCCATTCCCTGAGCACTTCTTAGGGCTCTGGAATGTTCTTTCCCAAATGTCTCCTCCTTGGGGGGGGAGGCAGCCTTCCTGATAACCACAGGTTGTAACTTTAACCCCTTCCCTGCCGTCTTTTTCTCCCCGACCCCACTCTGCCATCTGACCACCTCATTGTCTGCCTCTCACTCGCCCCTGCTCCCACCCCAGCTAGACAGAAACTAAGTGTTTTGTCCCACGCAGCCTCCCCAGTGCCCAGAGCAGTTCCTGGAAGGGCTGGCACTGCACGATGTTGGTATCTATGGAAGAGGTGGCCGCGGCACCCACCAGATTTAACGTGTACAGCCTGTGCCGGGCAGAGGGTCGCCTTCCTGGCCTCTCACCCCAGCCTGGCAGCATTTCCTGGGCTCTCACTGTGGGAACTCCAGTTCTGCTCCACCTGGCTTGGCCACCCTGAGATGACTGGCTAGCCTGGGTCTTAGTCCCTTGCCTGTCCCATTCACAGGCCACAGAACCATTCCCTGGGACCCACCTGGAGACTTCCAGCCATCCATGTGGGGTTGCATGGAGACCATCAGAGATTCAGACACAAATCTCCCTCCTCTTTGCTCAAATAATAGTAGAGGCAGGAGCTGGGACTGGGAAGGCTGTGGCAACTGTCAGCCAAGGGCCCTGGCAGTGGGAGAAGCGGCTGGATTCTGGGCCTACCCATGATGGCTTCATAGTTGTCAAAATAATTCATCTCTAGAGAAGACAGCCCCCAGGACGGAGTCTGGTGGAGCTGTCCAGTGAGGTCAGGACTCTCGTCCTCCCTCCCTTCCCACCAGGACCCAAATGGGGATCAAGACCTGTGAAGCCGCCAGGATGGAGGATGCAACAGACACTGTGCGGGGCCTTGTCATCGAGCTCTCCAGCCTGAAGTAAGGGTTGGGCTTGGGGCCACAGATCCTCCTGACGGGCGGAGGGGATGGGGCCACAGGAGGATGGCGAGAGGGCCCAGAGCAGCGGTGAGGCTCAGGTCCCAGGGTGGGCCAGGGCCCCCCAGAGAGGGGCCTCCGGGAATCTCCACCGCACCTGGGCCCCAGCCCGTTCAGTGTGTCACAGACCCATCTTTCACAGAGCTGTTAGGTTCTGAAGAGGGTCTAGAAGGGTTACAACCTGCCCTGAAACAGGCCGATTCTGATTATGGGGGCACGTGTGCCTGTGTGAGGCTACGTGTGTGTGCATGCGTGTCTGAGCAGGCTGATGTGTGGTGTGAGGTGCGGTCCCGCTGTCTCGAGGTGGCGCACAGCTCACGTGCATTTCCATGCAGCCGGCTGATCATGAGCGCCCATCGGGACCTGGAGGCCTCCAAGCGCCTCAGCTGCTACTGGAAAGCAAAGACGGCAAGGAAGGGCCCCGCACCTTACACGCCAAAGGGGGCTGGGAACCTCCCTCGAGGGGAGCAGTCCTGGAGGGATTTGTAGACTGCTTCCCAACCACTGGGGGATGGCAGTGTGTGTGCACACGAGCTTGCCGGCCCCCAGAAGGGCCTGATGTTCCTGCCAAACAGTTGGAAACAATCCCTCAGCAGACCCCAGAAAGCTCTCAGGCCCCTATGTGCCCCCTGGTCTTCTGTTACTCTCCAAGATGCTCCAGAGGTGGGCCCCAGAAACCTCCCCTCAGCCAAACCGGAAGTCAGCTTCCCGTGGGACACCCAGAAGGCCCTGCCCATGTCAACAGCCTCCCTTGGGAGCCATGGGGGAGGGAGCCTGCTCCTCCCTGTGGCGGAGGCCTGGAGGCGGGAGGCGGGCTGGGGCCCCAGGAAGCGGGCTGCTTCTGAGCAGGGACCAAAAGCCACCCAGATGTTTATCTGGGTTTGCAAATTTCGGCTCCTTAGCTGAGGTTATGGAAGGTTCAGAATTTGTTTCTTTCCTGGAGGAGAAAAGGGCTCTCTTTGTTGGTTGTACCCTTGTTTTTCTCCAGATTTCCATTTTATTTCTTCTGGGAAGACCATTAATAAATGATTCCCTAGCCAGACCTCAGACCTTGTGACCTGTTGTTTGGGGTTTGAGGCATTTTCACTTCCTTGATGTTCTGCCCACAGAACTCCCTAACCACCCCTTTCTCCTTTTACTTCTACTTCTCATCCTCCCTGGGAAGGCAAGCTGGGCTGCTGCTGGGCCCCAGGAGTGCAGGGGTCACCATGAGTTACTGACTGTGTAGGACTCTCCAGGAGCAGGTGGCTGTATGTGCGCATGCGCACGTGTGTGCTCACATTCAGACACAGTTTCAGTGAAGGAACAGTCCAATGAGACATCTTGGCTGACTGTCCAGCTGGAGAGCTTGTGAGTTTGCATTCAGTGCTCAGATGGCTTCTTCTCTCCATGGGACAAACTGCTTGGAGGGCCCAGCCCAGAGGGAGGCAGTCCTGGGGACTTGTAACCGATGCAAACACAGCTAATACCTGGAGGGTCTCGAAGGCAGGCTTTGCACACCCTGCCCCACCAAGCCTTAACACAGCCCTGATGCCATCCCATCGTGAGCAGTCCCAGGTGTTGCTGTGAAACCCATTTTACAGAAGACGTGTGTTAAACTGGTTACCACAAAGTTGACTAGACCCAAGACTTTATCAGTTGCTTTGCCTGTGACTCCTACACCCCAACTCCTACAGCCAAGGCAGAGCCCTCCTCCCACTGCCTTCTTACACCCTGGGAGACCCCATTCAGGAGGGAGCAAGGCGGGTCAGGAGCCCCCAACACTTCTTCCAGCTGAATGTACAGCTCCTTCCTTGAACTTAAAAGGACGTGCCCAATCCGTGGGTATCAAGCCCCAGTGGCTCTCGCTTATACAATTAGCAGCTGCAGGCAGCTGGGGCTGGCTGGAGTGTCGTGTCCCCTGACTGAGTTTGAAACTCTTGGGGCTGCTAAGGAGGCCTCCTCTGTGTCTTTCTCCACCTTCCCGCTCCTCTCCAAGCCTGGGCAGCAGGCTGTCTTCAAGGGTTGTCTCCCATCCCTGGCTCTCCCCAGCCCTCTTGGGTGGCCTCAGCTTCCAGCTGAGGTGGAAAAATCAAGGGCAAAGAGGACCTGTGATTCCAAATCCTGTCCCCACTCAACCCTGGGAGAGCTTGTGGGCTGAAGGTGGAGCACAGGCCCTCAGGCCAGCCCTCCACTTGGGGGAGGAATGTGAGTTAACACTTGCCACCTGCTGCCCCCTGGAGGCTGGGGGTGGAGGAGGCACAGGAGATGGGGATGCCCTGGTCCCCAAGTACACCCCCCTACCCAAGGCCTCCTGCCCTAGCACAGCCAGATCACCTCTGTGGTGCTCCCTACCCAAGGCCTCGCCTGGCCCCACCCCCCAGGACATACTCCTTACTGCCCCACTACCCCAGCCCAGAAGTCCTTCCCTTGCTCTGAAGGCCCTGACATGTTACTTTATGGCCCCCAGTTGCTGGGGCACCATGGTGACTTAAACATTCACTGAGGGCCTCTTAGATGAGGATGATGGCAGCAGGTGGGGGGATACTCTAATTGTCTCCATTTTCCCCTCAAATCGGGCACCTAGTGTGGGCGATGCCACCCATCTGACATGTCAACATGAAAGAGGTGGCTGGAAGAGCTTGCAAACACCAGACGTCACAGAAACAGCCTCATGGCACTAACCTAGCAGCAAGTGCTCAGAAGCTCCCAGCTGGGGCTACCCTCAGAACCCCACAGCTGCCCAGCGGTGCCCACTCCCATTGCTCAGCACAAAGCAGCTCACCCCTGCACCCCAGGGTGAATGGAAATCCAAATAGTTGGGGAAAATAGAGGTCACAGTAACATGTGGGGGCTGATGAATGCAGCCAGGAGAGGAAGGTTCCCCAAGCCCCTTCGGCGCTGTTCACACTACCTTGTCCCACATCTGACGCTGATCCATTCACAAGCATTTATTGAGTGCTGACTGGGTGCTCAGCGCTGGGGACGGAGGGTGGGGGTACCGGAGACCACTTCCTTCCTTTCAGGGGAGCTCTTTCGTCTGTGCTCCCAGGCCGGGCCCTCCTGCCAGGCCACCAGGCTGGGGGCAGGGCCTAGGGGCGGATCTTCAAAGGGTGGATCTTCCCCCACCCCCACCCCCAGGTGAAGGCAGCATTCCCGTCCTGCCGGCGCCAGCCTCTTAGGCAGAAGTGGAGGGACTGCAGGAAGAAGGAGAAGTTCCGGAAGGCGTCCCGGCACCTTTGGAACCTGGGTTTTAAAAAGCAGAGCGGAGAGGAGAAAAACATTTAATAATAGGCGATGATTCAATGTTCCCGAAGTACCGACTCGACTTGCGAGACTGTCGGAGCTCTGGCGCCACCTGGAGGCTACTTCTGGAATAGCACCCCTGTGACATTCCCGGACCAGGGCAGCACCAGGTGGGACCCAGAGCCAAACACAAAGCGCAGAAACTACAACTCAGCGCTGTCGTGCTGCCCCCTCGCGGCCGCAGGGCTCGAGAACCCCGGATTTGTTACACCTAGAATGTTACCAGGGAGGACAAGCAGCCTTTTTGTGCCAATATCGTGATGAAGTCTCCCCGTGCCCCACTCCCCCCACCGCCCGCAGGAGGCAAGTTTCCGTGTTCCCTCGGCTCGGACTTAAGGGGAAAGAGGAAGGTTCTGAGACCATGATCTCTACGTCCCTTCAGCTTCCCACCTCTCCTGGTCTCTCATCAGACTTCACAGGGAATAAATACTATCTTCTCTTGGAGGCAATCTCTCACCCTTCTAACAAATGTTCACCGCACAGCTGCCCAGATGGGGAGGGGTCCTCCCCCCTAGTCACTTCCAGAGGGGCTCACAGTCTGATGGGAGCGGCAGCACCCACACAGGGCACCCAAATGGACAGCGGCACCACCCTGTCAGACCCATCTCTGTTGGCTGACTTCCCCAAAGGCAATTAAAGTTGCTAAAACGGATTTCTCTTTTAAAATCCTGTAGAAGCTGAAGTCTTTCGCATCTGTAATAACTGCTGCCATTTAAGCCAGAGCTACTCAGAGCCTGCTGGGCCCATGACCTTGCAGCATGGCAGTGTCAGAGGGAGCTGGCTAGAAACTCAGGTGCTCAGCCTGCACCCAGACATGCAGAACTGGAATCCACATTTGATGGGCAAGATCCGCGACCCTGTGTGGTGGGCGGTGCAGTGTGGGGAGAGCCCTTTTAGACCTCAGGGAGGCTCCAGCTACAGCTCTCTTCCAAGTTTCATCCCTAGCCACCTGCCTGAGCTGATCCACACACAGTGAAGTTGTGGCACTCCCCTCCAACCTGACGTTTCCCCGGATGCTGGGACTCACCCTCCTCACTGCCTTGAACACCTCTGCCTGGAGAACCAGCCTCTTCCGACATTCAGATCTGTCCCTGCAGTCCAGCTTGTTAGCCAGGGTCTAACACACTCACAGTCTAACATGCTGCTAACCCGCAGACCTGCTCTTGTCCACTTCCTCGGCCCCCTGGTGCCCAAATCCAAACTCTTTAAGGTCAGTGGTAAGGACCTATAGGCCCTTTTGCTGTCCCTGAAATCTCCTGACACCTTCTGCTCTACTATATATGCACGCATGTTCTGTCCCAGACACAATGAACTTGGCAAAGTTCCTGAACAAGCCGAAATGCCTGGGCCACACTTCCAGAGCTCCGCCAAACCGAATTCAGCTCCCAGAAGTTACTTTGTCCAGGAAGCCCTCCTGGACCCCTTCTTGGATCAGAGGCTTTCTCTAGATTCCCCCATTCCTGTGTTTGAACTGTCACTCTCCCGTCTACCAGCCCAGCACTGTTTAGCAAATGAGTGAACAAATGAGGCTCGGTTTCTCTAAACTCAGCAATTTGTGTCTGGCCACACAGCTCCTAAATGCCAACAAGATTGGAGTCCCTGTTGGACCTGTCCGCAGTCCACCGCTAGTCCCCACCGCCTCCCTGCCAGATCACCCCGTGCCTGGAAGAGGTTGGCATTTCCCCTTTGGGCCCCGAGGATAATGCCTTGCCCCAGGCCGCACAGGGAAGCCCAGCCCCAGTTTACCCACACTGGGCAGCAGTTCCAGAGTATGGTTCTAAGCTTCCTACATGGATTATGTCCCCGCAACCCTCTGAAGTGGGTAACCCCTGGGGTCAACCCCACTTCACAGAGGCCCCAGGGGGCTCAGCCCAAGGCAGGCCACCTCCGAAGCAAGTCCCCCCAGCTACCTGCACAGGCACCTCCTCCTCCTCCTCGGCGGTGTCCCGAGTCCTGCGTCCTCGCCTTGTCTGGGCGGGCCAGCTTCTTGCCGGCCGAGTTGCGGGTGGTGTAGCTGTAGACTGAGGTGTAGCCCTGGCCGGTGAGCGGGCAGAAGCGGCGGGTGTGGGCGCGCTCGCGAGTGGCACCGCACTGGGGGCACACGTAGTCGCGAAGAATAGGGCACAGGACCCGGCCCGCTTCGTCCTTGAGCACGTGGGACTGGTAGATGGCCCGGGACTCGCCGTTGTGTTTGCAGAAAGAGCACAGGCGTTCAGGAGCTGGTGAGGATTCCGGGCTGGGCCTCTGATCCTCCGGTCCTGGCATGGATTCTGGCTGGGGGTCTAGCCTGGTCTCGGGCTCCTCTTCCCCACGCATAGCCCTCACTAGGCGTGCCAAACCCAGGTAATCTGTCCATAGGTTGAAGGTCCCCATGGCTGGGCAACGTGTGCCAGGCCGAGGGGCAGAGAGAGAAGAAACCTGCCCCAAAGCTAGCCTTTCTACCCCTTCCTCCTTGCCCCTCCCTTCCCCTCTCTGGAGCCGAGGAGTCTAGGCTGTCAGTCCCCTCCTTATGTCTCCAAGGGGGTGTGAAGAGGGAGGATCAGGCTGTGGGAGATTCCTTATTGGCACTGGGGAGCTTGCTGCCGCTCCCCCAAAAATGCACCTGCCAAGGGGATGCATAGTCTCCGGGTGGGCTGGGGGCAGGGGGTGGTGACCAGACAGGCTGCAGGGGGCACCAGCAATACGGAGCTACACACCCCCCCCCCAGAGGGCATGGGGAGGGCTACCCCTGCCTACCCCTCCTAGAAGGAGGCCTGCCACTCCTGCCCTACAGGGTGTTGGGGGGGTTGGAAGCCCTGCCCCAAAGACTAGCATTGCTGTAACCAGTAACTTAGTAACTTCTTTCTTTCTTCTTCTGGGCTGGGGAGGGGCCAAGTACCCTAGGGCTCTGTGGCTGGGGGGTAGGGGGGAGCTGCTGATACTCCAGCTGTCTTTGGAAGGAAGATGGGTCTAACTTATGGGGTGGGGGTACAAGGACAAAGGCTTCCAGCTCTGATCTCCCTCAGGGAGTTTTCACACCCTTGGTCAGTGGAACCCCCATTTAATGGATGAACAAAGTGAGGTAGGAAGCCACTTGCCCATAAGGTTATTCACAAAGACAAACACACAGCCTGCCTACCCCATCCAGTTACTAGGTATAGAGGAGGCAGCCCTTCCTGGTCCTGGGGTGGAAAGGGGGTGAGGCAAAACATTACCGGGGTGGAGGGGAGCAGAGGCGCAGGTTGGGCCAATGGGGGGACTCCTAGCACTGGCCAGCGCTTTGCTCTCTCCCTCAAATGAGACCTCAGCTCAGTCTCAGGAGGATAGGGTGTGCTTAGGAGACACCCAGGTGGGGCACAGACTGGCAGGTGGAGGGATCCGCTGGCATCAAGGTGCTAGGTGGGCAATTAGAAGGTAAAGCAGGATTCTGCGGGATCTGGGCAAAGAGCTGAGAAAGCTGGGCCTGGGACTTGAACGCAGAGAAGAGGAGTTATGCCACCTACCCACCTCATTCATTCATTTTTTCAAGAAACCTTTATTGAGTTTTCTGGGAGCAGGGCTCACTCGTCCCTTTCAGAAGAGTTTTTCAGCTGCTCAGTCCCGAGCCTGTGGTTCATTCCGCCAACCCTCCAGGATTTATTCACCAAACCCAGCCTGTGTTCATAGCAATCCCAGACACCACCCTCCACAAGGGGTGAGAGGCTGGGGTCAGGGTCAAGTACTGGCTGAGTAATTTTGTGGGGGAGTCCAAGGGTGGGTTCTGTCCCCCATCCCATTCCCCTTTCGCTGTGTATGGCCCAGCCACAGTGACATTCATCCCTCGGTGGGTCTGGCCTCCTGTCCTCACAACCCACCGACAACAATGAATGTTGATTGTGACCTTCGCTGTGGCTAAGGGAGGGGATGTGTTCGGGATTCCCCCAGATCTGGAATGTGGGGGGTCGTGATGGGTGGACGGCAGTTCCAGGCCTCGGGGTCCACTCAACGGTCGATGGTTTGCCTGAGCTGCCCAAACTCACCGACAGGTTGAATGTTCCCCCAAACCCTTGGCAATTTCTTGGGGGACTGTGAGTGGAGGGTGGGTGGGGGTCAGGGAACCAGATAGGGTGAGGGAAGAGAGGGGAGGGAATGAGGGACCTATAGAATCATTAAGTCAGCAGTTATTAGGCGCCAACTCTGTTCCAGGATGTGGGAAAAATGCAAGAGATAAATGTAAGGAATAATAACAGTAGATATTTATGATGCCTTTGCTGTGTAAATGTAGCAGTACTGGGCCCTGGGCTTGTGGGGTGGGTTGGTTGTTTTTTTCCCCACCCATTTTCTTAAATCATCCTCAAAACTCACCCTCGAAGGTGCATACTACTTCCATTTGTCAGTTTAGGAGACTTGAGACCAGAAGGCACCTCCGGTGAGAGGCAGAGGAAGGATTCCTAGTGGCCCCAAGATGTCTGGCTGCCAAGCGGTTCTGGCCCCCGGGGCATCGATGCAACCAGGCGATAAACAAGTCATTTTAATACAATGTAATACCTTCTGTGAGCCTCACCGTGTTCCGGGCACGATTGTTCATGAATCACAACAACCCCGGGGGGCTGGCAGAGGCTCCACTTTGCAAATTCGGGCCGGCAGTGTCCCCGCCAGCGGACCCACCTGCCCATTGGACCGGAGAGAAGCCCGAGGACCAGGGGGGATACCGGCCGCCCTCCTGCGGGGTCTCAGGCCCTTCTGGAGGTCAGCGCCCAAGTGCACAGCCCCTCGAGGGGTGCCCCGGGATGCAGGCTCAAAGTAAGCTGCGGTCAAATCCCTGCTCAGACTCTGATTGGGGCAAGATGCTGCCCCTTCCCCATTTCTTCATCGGCAAACCGGGCCCCCAGTCTCTCCCTCCAGGGGCGGCGCAGGGTTGGGCGCCCGCCCCTTCAGGTGCCCCCACCTGCAGTTTCAGGGGAGGGATGCCGCTCCCCAACTGAATCTGAGGACCCCCAAAGACCTCCTGGGACGGGACTTCAAATTTCCAGCCCCCTCCTATTTCACTGAGGGCAATTTTGAGCCCTAAAGCATGAAACCCCCCCCCCGCCCCGCCTGGCCTAGACCTAATACGGATCCTGGGCTCCAGGTGTGCTGAATAGAGTGAATGACAAAATAACCTCGACGGGGGCGGCCAGAGCCGGCACAGCCTTCTAAGCCCCACCCCAGAGATCCCCTGCTAGAGCCCGCCTCCAGAGATCCGCCCCTCGGAAGCCGCCGACTCAGGCTCCTCCTCCAAGACCCGCCCCCTCAAAGCCCACCCACAGCTCTCCGCCTCTAAAACCCGCCCAGATAGACTCCCATGTAGCCCGCCCCCAAACTCAACCTCCTTAAAATCCGCCCCCTAAACTGGTCCTCAAAGAGCCCAGCTCCCCTAAGGCCTGCCCTGGGGCCCCGCCCTCAGAGCCCACCCCTTCTGGCCTCCCACCCCCTCGGAACCGGACCCCCGCAAGAATCCGCCTCCCGTGAAATTCCCCAACTTCATGCAGCCCCTTCCCCAGAGGCCACTCTGTCGCCTACCACCCTCACTCCCAGGACCACAGGTCCAATCACGTTCCTACCCTTGTCTGGAGCTCTGGGCCTGCAGGGCCCCATTCAGGCACAGGGTGTCCAGCCCTTCTGAAGGAGCATGTGGGGATCTCCTGCTTTGAGGATGGTGGTTCTAACAATCAGAATGCTGGGAAAGGAGGGTGGGTTGGGAGGATAGGGGGTAATAATAATAATAATGCTTTACATACATCGCCCTATTATTAGGATACCCATTTTATCGATGAGGAAGGTGAGGTTTTAGGAGTTTGGAACAGAACTCTCTCGGCGGTTCCTCAAAAGCTCTGTTCTTAATGACCATGAAGCTAGAATTGGGCAGGAGGCCCTCTGGCCACAAGGCGGAGGGCTCCCCAAGACACCATTTCTTCTGTGGCTTCTCTCCTCTTGCTTCCCTGAGGACTTTGACCTTGACCTACCAAGGAGGTAAGTCCCTGAAAGAGGTCTCTCTGACTCGGGGGTGGGTGGGGCGGGGGGAAGACAGTCAAGAAAGCGGGGCTGGGGCAAGAGGGCGGGTCTTCGGGCCAAGGGGAGGCCCGCAGACCCCAGACCCATCCTATGGGGGAGGGGCTCTCTGGGCCCAGGCTACGGTCTGACTCTCCCTTTGTCTGTGGTGGTCGGTGTGGGCTTCCCGCCCTCGGTGTCTGTCTGGGTCCTCCTGTCTGGGTCTGACTGTTCCCCTCACAGACCTGGATTTGTCTGGGTCCCCAGCCCTGCAGTGTGCGCCTGTCTGTGGCTGTCTGGGTTAGGCCTGTGTGTGTCTGGCCCAGTACACCTGATCTCCCCTCTGTGTCTGTCGGCCTGTCCCCTCCATGTCTGGGGCTGGCCTTTGGTGAAAGGTGGCCTCTGATCTGTCTGCATTTCACTGTCCGGACCTGGGGCCCTTAGGCAGGGGGGCACTGACTGTTCCTCCTGCCCAGTGTCCTGAGGCCTTCTCAGGGGCTGACTGGGCTTCCAGTGTGACTTTGAAGCCCAGCAGGATGGGAAGCAGGGAGCAGTCTCCTCCCACCCCCAATCCTGGGTCCTGGTGCAAAGCAGTAGTGTCCTTCAGGGCCTGCTTCTTCCTCATCCTTAGTCCCTGGGGCCTACACCCTAGCTGGGTCTGTCTGGGCAGGGGGCTGGGAATGAGTGGGGTGGGGTGGGCAGCCTTTCAGAAGCCATGCTGACCCAGAGCCTATCCCTGCCCCCACCTTGAGCTTCAGGAAGGCAGGGCAGCTGGCTCAGGCTGGGGGTCAGGGTCAGAGGTGAGAGGTCCCAGCAGAGCCAGATGGGCAGGCTCTGCTGTGGATGGAGGCAGCTTTGCTGTCAAGTTGAAGAACAAGGTGGTGGTTGGGGAGTGCAGGGAGCAGCAGGGGAGGGTGGCAGGGACACACCGTGAGGTCAGAGATGCAGAGCTTCCAGGGGGTGTCTAGTGGCCTGTGTGTCCCTGTGTGTGTGCCCCTGTGTGTGCATGTGCTTGCACCTGGGGGGCACACGGGGGAGGAGATGGTCAGGGCTTGGCAGACAAAGAGCCCATTATGGGATGCGGAGTGGCACCGTCCACGGAGGTCCCCATGTGGGGGCCTGCTGATGGCTGGGGCAGGGGGCCCCTCATTTCCATGATACCTGCGTGGCCTCTCAGGTTCTGACCCCACCCTCCCAGGCCGTCTCCTCAGCTTCCTCTCCCGCTGCTGGATATTCAGGCTTTTGATGCCTGTCTTCAGACAAGGGGCTCCTCTGTCCTTCCCAGACCTGGGGGCGGCCAGTGGGCCAGGAGTCTGAGCTTCCTTCCCAAGCCCACCAGATGTGGGGCCAGGGCTGCAGGAGGTGAGATGGTGGCCCGGCGTTTGGGTTAGGGGCTGTGGAGGGGCCTGGGCAGGTTGATGAGAAATTCAGACACTCCTACGGAGGAGGCTCGTAGTGCAGGGTGACCCGGGTCAGGGTCAAGGTTGGCTTCATCTGCAAAAATGCAGACAGCAGCTGCTTCCTCTGGGCCTGTTACTGGGGGGCTGCGCTGGGCTTGGGGTCTGAGCTACTCTGGTGGGCTATTTTGAGAGGTCTGTGAGTGTCTGTAAGTCCAGGTGGGTGTGTAACATAGTGGGCGGCCGTCTCTAAGCCAGTTGTGTGTCTGCACTCCCGTGAGCTTCTGTTTGTGTGTGGATGTCAGTGTGACTGTGGGTGTGTGTCAGGCTAATTGTGGGTAATTGCAGGTCGTTGTGTGAGCCAATGTACGTGGGTGTCTGGCATCTGTCAGTGTCACTGTGGGTGACTGTGGCCTGTATCACCCAATAATGGTGCCCCTGACCCTCCTTACTAAAATTTCCGCTCCAGGAGGGCAGGGATTTTGACCTTTTATATCCCCAGTGCTGTAACAGTGCCTGCAACCTCAGTAAGCAAGTGCTGGCTTTGTGGGAGTCCAGGTGACTCTGGATTTCTGCATGCACCTAGGTCATTTTCCTATGTGTCAGTTTCCTGGTGCATGTGTTATTGTGTCTGTCTGTAGGTCAGTATTAATGTAGGTGTCCAAGGGTATAATCAAGTGTCAGGGTGGGTGACTCTGGGTGTAGGTACTGTTGGAGTGTTCATATCTGTTTGTGGGTGCCAGTGTTATAATGGCTGTCTAGGAGGATCAGTTTAACTATATGTGTGTAGGTCAAGATTACCATAACCTGATGTCAGGATGTCAGCATCTGGGCAGGTCTTGTACCATCTGTGTGTGTGTGTCAGGTTGCCTGGGTGACTGTGGGTGTGTCCTTGCCTGGGCAGGGGCACGTGGATATCCATGTGTGCATGTCCAACTTCTTGTGAATAATGGTACCTATATGTACTTGTGTTGGAGCATTTACATATTTGTGGTTGTCATGATTATTCTGGGTGACAGCCCATGGGTGCCCACAAGACCGTGAGCATGGGAGTACCTGTGTGTGCAATAGAAAACTATATGTGTGTCAGTGTTATATTCAAGGCTGTGTCTACCATGGTCGGTGGCAGCTTCATTTTTGTGTGGCACTGTTTTCACGGGGGTCCGCCCTGGATGTCCGCGTCATTGTGGATGATGTGTGTGCCCACGTGGCAGTGTTATGATGGGTGACTGTGTGTTTGCATGTGTGTGTGAGCGTTCTTCCAGGTGATGTGAGTAATAATGGGGGTGATGTATGTCCGAGCATAGGGTGCGGGTTTTCGGGTCTTCATCAGCGAGTTGAGAATATCTAATTGTGATTCTGTAAAGGTTTCTGTGAGCGGTGCAGGGAGGTGGGGAATGGGTGGGAAAGGAGATGGGGGAACTGAAATGTAGTGGGGTGGGGGTACTTCTCAGCTCCCATCAACCAATGAAGGGTCTTCTCTGTCGTCCCCTCCCCCCGCCCCCGCATGCCCTCCAGGGCGAGGTCCCTGTGCAAGGCGCCCTGTCGCTTTAAAAGGGCTCCCCAGCAGTGGGATTCCAGACCCTTTTTCCTTTTTTATGGTCACTTTTTGGAGGGCGTGTTCCTGTTAGCAAACCCTGGCCCCAGTAAATACCCTGCAGACGCCGCCGGTAATGACAGGCCGGCGGGGAGCCCGCGGAGGGCGCCGGGGCTCCGACAGGCGGCGCCGCTGCAGCCCAGGACCCGTGGCCGCAGCCAGGCCCGAGCGGGGCCCCCGCCGGGATCGGTCTCCGCAGGGCCCGTGCAGGCCTGCGCGCCCGTGAACTTGGCCAGGAGCGCCTTCCCGAATGTGCGCGCCGGGCCGGAGCTTCTCCTGGTCCCGGGTATCCGAGGTCCCCACCCGCTCTGCGCCCCCAAGAACAAAGCTCGCCGCCGCCCTGTCCCGGGGCCTCCCGCGGTCAGGTGTCAGGCGGCCGGGGTACTGCTGCCCCCTACGACCCTCATCATGCGTCCCCGCCCTGCAGGGGCATCTTAGCCCGCCCTCCCCCCGGCGGCTCTGGCTCGGGACTTGTGGGTCTGTCCCCTGTGGGGGGGTCTGGTCCTCTCGGGGCCGCTTCTCGGGGAAGGCGAGACGCAGAGATGCCGCCGGGGCCTCCCCGCCCCCCTTCCCCAGCTGCCGCAACAATGGAG